AGATTGGCTAGAAAGAATGCCCATGATGAAAACTAGCACCCCCAGGAGAAACAATGTCATCCTTCAAGAAGATCTGTCCTCAAACCCCCACCCCTTGCCAGTTGATGTGAAGCAGCAGCTGGAGAGCTTAATGTACTCTCTCTATCAACAAAGCATTTTGCCCTCTGAAACACCTCTTTGCCAAGAAGATGTTAATGAGCAGCAGCAGCTGGTTTTTGATGAGTCTTGCAAAGATCAAAGACAGTCGGTGCAGTCAGACCAGGGTTACATTTCCAGATGTTCCCCTTTGCCTTCCGACAGCCCCCTGGAGGAAGAAGAGGAGCAAGGGCAGGAAGGACATGGGTCTGCTCAACACCTCTCCCCAGATGTCTTGGACAGTCTAAAAAGTCTTCAGCAGCAGCTGCTTTTTCAGAATATTCAGCAGCACTTCAGCTAGGATCACATGGTAGGATGGCTGACTATGGCCTGTACTTCTACCCAGAACCTGTTCTGTTTTGCCAAAAAAGAAGTGACTGTTGGTTAGAATGCAAACATTTCAGACATCCTCCCTCAGGCAATCTTGTGCACACATTTTTGTGAAGTCTAATGCGTAGAAGAGCTGACAGCATAAATTTGGCAGCTTGGCTTACCTGTCTGCCTAGCCATTCTGCTGCATATACTCGAGCATTCTTGTGCTCCAGTAATCTGCCTGTAAATGGAGGTAGATACCAAACCTATAAATAATGCATATATTTTTTTCAAATTAATGCTACAAGCAGGTAGCATACAAGTGGCCTCAGAGGATCAGATGAAATGGACCAGATAGCTCAGTAAGCTCCCGGTAACAAGCCAATATAAAATGATTGTGATGGAAACATCACAAGAGCTCTGTTTTATGAGATAAAAGATGTGTCCAGTCCAGCATCCTGTTTCCATAGTGAATGACCAGATGCTACAAGGAAGCCCACAAGCAACAGCTCCAACCTGCTGCTGTTGCCCCAGAATAATAATAATAATAATAATAATAATAATAATAATAATAATAATAATTTATACCCCGCCCATCTGGCTGGGCTTCCCCAGCCACTCTGGGTGGCTTCCAACCAAATATTAAAATACAGTAATGCCTCAAACATTAAAAGCTTCCCTAAACAGGGCTGCCTTCAGATGTTGTCTAAAAGTCTGGTAGCAGTTGTTCTCTTTTGACATCTGATGGGAGGGCGTTCCACAGGGTGGGTGCCACCACCAAGAAGGCCCTCTGCCTGGTTCCCTGTAACTTGGCTTCTCACAGTGAGGAAACCGCCAGAAGGCCCTTGGTGCTGGACCTCAGTGTCCAGGTAGAATGATAGGGGTGGAGACGCTCCTTCAGATATACTGGACCGAGGCCATTTAGGGCTTTAAAAGTCAGCACCAACACGTAGAAATAGTAGTCAGTAACATATTGCCTCTGAACCTATAAGTTCTACGCTGCTATGATGGCTAATAGCCATTGATGGGTTTACACTCCATAGCTATTGCTACATCTTTTAGCAGTGAATTCTATAATTTCATTGTATGAAGTACTTTCCGTTGCCTGTCTTGAATCTGCTGCTGATTGATTGATCTGCAAATGTAGTATTGAGAGGAAGAACTTATTTCTAATCGTTGCATAATTTTATGAACCTCTCCTTAGGTCTCTCCTTAGTCTTTTTTTTAATTGTTGGCATCTGCCTGATTCAAGAGACAGTGGAAGAGTATGTCATCAATGGTAAAGTCAAACTGTTGGGAGAGTTACAATGCATGCTGTGCCTGTAGAGGCCAGTACAGGAGATACATGTTTTATTGTAGCTGGGGCAGATAAAGGCATCCAGTTTCGCTATTACAGATACACCATGGTATTTCTTCTCTCTGCACTCCTCCCAGTGGTCATTTCTCCTCTGGTCACTGCTGTGAATACACAACTTGTTTGTCTCCAGGCACTGTGGTCGCCTGCTAAAAACAACAACCCAGTACTCCTTTAGCTGTGCTGTAACCCCTTGGTTATTTGTATTACATTTTCCTATAGTTTTCCAGCTCTAGGATATGTACACAATATTCATAGTGTGTCACACTTACATAAAAAGCACTTCAATTCTGCCCGCTTTTTCAGTTCCTTTTCTAATACTTCCTTGCATGAAATAACTGTTTCACTGCCACAGTACACTGAAGTGATCAAAACAGCACAAACCTGCTATCTTTCCTGAATAGTCACCACCAGTTCTGGTCCTATTAATACATATGTGGTTAGGATTTTTTTGCCCCAATATATATCCCTGACATTGAATCTCAATTGCCATTTTGTTAGCCCTTCACCCTGTTTGGAATTGTACTTTCAGAGCTCTTTGCAATCCAGTTAGGTTTACACCCTCCTGCATAATGTGGCGCCGCCTTGCTGCTGACCCTCTTCTCCAGAAAACTAATGAACTCCAAATCATATTACAAATGATTAAGACAAAATGTTTCACATCAAGACAAATGTTTTAGGCCATCTTCTTCAGCAAGCACTGTACTCTTATTCTATATTAATCTTACGGTCAATAAGGTAAAATGCTGTTGTATTGATTTGAAGCCCTGCATTAAGTAATTGCTCTGCCCAGTTTTAAATGCTGCAGTAATTAATTTCTTTTCATGTCACAAATAGTCCCAGCAGAGTTGCCTGAGTTTAGGGATTTTCTTGCGAATGTGTTGGCAGCTTCCTTATGCAGTCTTTGAATTATGCATAATCAAAACTGCTGAAGCAATCTTCAGAATGCACTTAATTTTGGTAATGGATACTTCTTCATGATATACCAGAAAAATCTAGGCAAACCTAATTTAGAAGGGGGTATTTTAGGAAGATGCAGAAGCAGAGGGTTATGTGGTTATACTCAACGTAGCTAGTGTATGAAGCCTTCTGATTCCATCCACAATATGACTTTGAACTCACCACAGGGATGCTGTTTGCAGAAGCATCACCATGTCAAAAGTAATGAGTGTGCAGCCTCTGAAACACAGGCAAGGGACTCTTTAATATGCACCCGCACTTTAGCTGCTCTGTCGATTTCCCATTATGCGCCACATCTGCTGTCTCCCTACACAATCCAAGACAGGCAAATGGAAGCAAGCGGTTGTAGTGTGTAAGGGGAGAGTACATGCTTGGCAGGAGAACTTTTTGCCAATGGCCGTGGGCAGAACCAATGTTGTTCTTTCAGCTGTTACTCAGTTCAAAATATGGCTCTGTATAAAATTTGCCATAGACCTGGGACAAAGGAAAAATTACAACATATATAGGTGTTGTGACTGTGCAAGATAAGTCATTACAGGCTGTTAAAGCATCCATGTATATTGGTAACCAATTCAGCTAAAGCACAATAGCACCTGTGGTGAGGTAGAGGAAAGTGATCCCCAAGAATCAGTTCTCCATGGCCCATCAGGCCGACTGCCTTGAAAATTGTGCCAGTGTATTAAAATGAATACACTGGGTCGCGGGTGGTGCTGTGGGTAAAAACCTCAGCGCCTAGGACTTGCCGATTGAAAGGCCGGTGGTTCGAATCCCCGTGGCGGGGTGCGCTCCCGTTGTTCGGTCCCAGCGCCTGCCAACCTAGCAGTTCGAAAGCACTCCCGGGTGCAAGTAGATAAATAGGGACCGCTTACTAGCGGGAAGGTAAACGGTGTTTCCGTGTGCGGCTCTGGCTCGCCAGAGCAGCAATGTCATGCTGGCCACATGACCCGGAAGTGTCTCCGGACAGCGCTGGCCCCTGGCCTCTTGAGTGAGATGGGCGCACAACCCTAGAGTCTGTCAAGACTGGCCCGTACAGGCAGGGGTACCTTTACCTTTACCTATTAAAATGAAAAAGTGCAGACTTGATGCCTGTTCCACTGCATAACTTCTTAGCCCATTTTAGAGACCACTCAGCAGTTTCCTTCAATGTACATGGTCCATTTCACAATAGCAAATTACAGCTGTACAGTATTTTTTTAAAAATGGCTTTTTTGCTATGCCTTTTTCATTGGTAATAACTTGATTAAAATATATTGTATTTTGCATATCTCTGGTTCTTTGCTAAACATTTGTTACTAAAGAAAATGATATGTTAGGTATCCAGAGCATCAATTAAGTGGCATTTGTTCTGTTTTCCACTTCATATAAGGACTGGTGGAGGCTGGATGTTAGGGGGGCAGGGAGATAAGAAACTGGCTAACTTTTCCTGCAGAATAAGGCTTTTATGGAGGAGTGTAATTGCCTCCTCTTGCAGTACAGTGAGCTCCCAATCTGTGCACATTTAACTTTTGTGTGCTCAGCTTTATTCACTTGGCAAAAAAATAAAAAGTAAATGGAAACCGGGTGAGCATCCAGGAAATAAGACTTTCGCAATCCCACCCACCATTGAACCCAATGGTTTTGAATATACACGATTTTGGTTTTAGGCGTGATCCCCAGAATGTAACTCCCATGTAAGTTGTGGGTTTACTGTACTTAACTAATGGCAAGCTACCTAGCTGCACTCAAGAGGCCAGCCTGGATATGGGTACACTGCCCACCTAGCAGGAGCAGAATAACCAGCATGCCTTCAGTCCAGATCTTTTCTAGAGTACAGCTACTACCAAGTTCTTCAACTTTGCTTCCCTTCCTAAATTGGAACTTTTTTGAGCTGGTAGGATGCTGAGATGATAGACTGAACAGCACCACTTCATAATGCAGGCGAGAGAATCCAGCTCTGAATGCTTGTCAAAACAAAAACCCTCCTGCAGATAGAAAACTAGCACAGAAAGACGAAAACTTCTATATCTGGCCTAGTATGGATTTGTGCCTACAGGAAGGATGGAGAAATGTGATTACTTACCTGAGTCTGAAAGTCTGAAGTGGCACAGCTTATTTTACCACTTCAGCACTTCATCACCTTATTCTGCTACATGTCCAGACCTAAAGTCTAAATTTGTTTGCTTTTCTCCTTTACAATTTCTGAAAGCACAATTGTTATCACAGATCTGTCCTGCAAAGAATTAAACCACCAGACATCATCAACAATGAAATCAGTTCCTAGCTTTTATTTTAAAAACAAATTGTTTTATTTTTTAAAAAAGCTCTAAATTTGTGGGGATGCTAAGTTTCCTTGCCTTGTTTTCTGCCTGCCTCTTTTAATTTTCTTCTCCTTGGGACACTGTCTTCATACATTAGGGGCTTGCCCCCCAAAAATAAATATCACAGCTTCTTTAAATAGAGGGATTCAGAGCCAGAACTTGCATACTTCTTCCTTAAGCTTGTATGTAGTGTGGTTTGTAACCATTTCACTTCCATTTGTGTGCAGAGTTCCTCATGACACTAGAACTGCTGTGCAGAAGCCTGTTCTCCCATGTTTATAATTCCTTATCCAGATTGAGATGAAAGTACTGAAATTGGGTTAGGACTGATGTACAGTAAATGCAACACAATCACAACTGAATTGGTTTTGATTTCATGGCATACAAGAGCTGTCAGACCTTGTTGTTGCTCTAAACCACCAAGGTTCCTTATACCTTTTACCAATATTTGTGCCACACAAATCTGTTCCGTTACTGAACTGTTTTTACAAATGGTAGGTGCTCTTGCCCACCTACTTTATGGCAACCACAATATACTTAAATGTGCAATTTTGAATTTCAGTGTTATTTAAATGCAAATAACAGCTGTAATGGCTTGTAGCATTTGATTACTGCACAGCAGCCTGTTTTGTAGCAGATTCTCTCTGGGAGGAAGTGAAGTATTTGTATGCACGCCTGTTCTTTCTGTCAGGAAACTAGCACCCCCACTAAAAGTATCTTAGAGCTCAGAGGGAAAGTCCACAGTACTTAAGTTTTACAATCACAGTCACAGCACCAAGATTGTCCAGACAAATAGAAAGGAGTTACTGAAGGGAAGGCCTCTGGCCCGAATTCCACACAAAGTCTTTCAGAAGATCTGCTTTGGAGACCGGACAGGATAAAATCACTGGTGAAAAAGTTAAACCTTAGTTCTCGTTCCTGCAACAGCAATGGGTTAGCTTGAGGTCAGTAAGCAGGTATCTCAAAGCAACTCCAGGGCTGAAGCATCTATGTATGCAGAAAGTCCCACGTTCAGTTCCTGGAGTATTCAGGTGGGGCTGTGAGAGACTCCTGCCTGAATCATGGAGAGCCACTGCCAGTCAGTGTAGACAGTACAGAGTTAGATGGACCAACTTTATGACTCGGTATAAGGCAGCTTCCTATGGAGTTAACCACCCAATGAAAATCCCAGTTCTATAAGCAACCATAGAGAGAAAAGGCTGGGTATATAAATGTAGTATTATAAGAGTGCATGAGAACCAGGTTATTTATTACCACCTCTGGCTTTTGTATCATTTCTCCATAGCACAGTAACTTGACTGCCTATGAGTGGTTACTGAGTGGAGAAAAACATCTCCCAATCGCATACCACAGGTTTTATCTAGTGGTTGTTAGCATTCTGTTCTCTTTCCTACCTAGGCAGCTTGGGGATTTTAAGACCAAAGGCAGCTGGCGTCCACCAGGACAGGTCGCTTTCAAATTATATGTCCTTTCCCCCTCCCCACACAAAAAAATTATGGGCCCACATACAAAGAAGAAGCATAGGCATGTAAGGAAAGGATTGGGGATCTTTCCAAGATAGCCAGGCAACAAGACCATTGATAATGTGACCCCTTTCTGCCTGTTTCCATTCCGTGTCAATGAGTTTACTATTTAGTGCATAACAAGCAGCACCAATAAATATCTAGAAATAAGAGGATGGGATAGTTCCCTCCTCCTTTTCACTTTATTTAAGTCCCTACTTAATTAAGCAAGTGAAAGCTGTCCTCAAAACAGAGCACCAATTATTAAAATCGTGCAGGTCTATTCCCAAGAGCTAGAAAACGAGAGCCCCCATAAGCAGAGGCTGTTGATAAGACCCTGTTATCACCGGTGAGTAAAATGTCTCAATGAAGAAGAGAGTTTGGCCCCTCGGGGGAGGGGGAATCAGACATAACTCCCTTATGTGCAAGGTCGGCACATGATGCAATGAGGTTCAAGCACAGAGGTAGAAATTTTCAGCAAGGAGAAAGATGGCTCCTTTCGTCTTAAAAGATTGCAGGTACCACCCTAATCCCAGAAACCCCCAAGGCAGAAATTAGTTTATCCCCAGAGTGAGGGAGTGGTGAATTTTTGTACAATGTACAAGAGGGTTAAAATTACTTCCTTTTCCTTGGGGGCAGGAATAGTCATGTATTCCAAGGCCTAACATGTGGAAGACTTGTCTATGTCAGTCTTCCTAAATGAAAGCCATTGGGAACTGTCAAGTATCACACCAGCCAATTTGCATTGTCCCAGAGCAGAGGAATGCTATGGGCAAAATAAAACAAATAACACATGGTCATGCTGAAAATACGATTTGCCCCACAAAGGCGCAGGTGTGGCTGAATGCACTGAGACACCATATTTTAAAAGGAACCTGCAGATGAAACAGGCGCTCTTTCCTGAGAAAGGCAGCTCCTGCTGATTTATTTGTCCTTAAAATGGTTTTCATCTTTTGTTCAGTAAAATGGTGCCCTAGAGCAGCTAGCATGCCTATAGCACCCTGAGCAACTGTGCTAAAGAGAGGCACAGATTTTTGAATGGCCAAAGCTGTTCTGGGCTGTACCACCTCAGCCTGCAAGTGGGAGTGCACATTACTAAATGTTCTACCATACACACACATATATACATATGTATTTGCTGTATACATAAAATTGGATTTGTCAAGAAGGTAGGCTAGAACCCTTGATGCTGACCTCTAGCTTGCCACATGGAAGGAAATTTTGAATGAGTAAGCATCTGATCATGTGAGTTCCCTCCTGCAGTTTGAAGTGGTAGAGCCTGTGAGCAGAACTAAGCCTAACTTAGCACCAGCAATAGCGCTCCTCTCTCTTTGTTCAGCAGTGGCATTATGGCTGGGTGGCTTTCCACTGCATGAAGAAGGAGCCCAACATAGGATATGAAGAACCTGGACAGCTTACAATAATGTGTTTTTCCAGGCATTCCAAGTGGGTGCTGCCCTCTCTCTGCTCTCCTATAGGCAGTGGTGGTAGGAGGCACCTCAGAAGAGAAAAAACCCACAGGTCAGAGAGCAAAAAACCAAAAACTTGATCAAGACCGAGAAACTGGATTTCCCCCTCTCTCTGTTATTGATAAGACCAGCTCATGAACCCGATGTGAAATATATAATCTGGAATGTGCAGTTAGGCAGTTAAACAACAGACCTCTTCCATCTTGATTTCTATAAATAGAAGCAAAAGAGGCGAGGGGTCTGTAGCCACACCACATTAAGTTGTCATTAGAATACAGAATAAATAGGAATGATTTGGGGGTTATGGGGATGGGGTGGAAGAAAAGGATTTGGAATAGTTTGTAAGAACTTGGGGGAAAGGGTTAAAAAATGATGCTGCCATCGTTTTGGCCCAATAGGTGGTTTGACTAGTGCTGCAGCATTCATTATGTTGTGTATTTATGTGTGTCTAGCTGCTCTGTAGTGACAGAATATCTAACAATATTAAAAGTTTTAATGATTAAAGTAGTACATGAAGGGAAGTGATTTAAGGCAAGAGCAGCTCCGATATTGCCACAGAAGACAGCCTGACTAATTAGGATGGGAAAATTAGGCTGCTTCACATTACCATTGAGGTGTAGCTACTGTCAAGACTCCAAACTATATGGGCACCACCTCACCTCACAGCCACTAGGGTGATGCAGTGGACCACATATTTTAGACAACTTTGAACCATGCCAGGGCAATACTTTCATGGGTGCAGCTGGTTTAAACCAATGGCCACTGCTTCACTCAAAAAATTAGCATTACTCCACTGAATACTCCACTGAGTTCGCAGAAGAGACCATATCATTGGCTAATTAAATGGGCCTTAATCTGGTTGAGATTGGCAGAGATAAAAGTGGACAGGAGGAACTAAAGCAGGTACAGGTCAGATTACCTAGGTTTGCCAAGGGCAATGAACTTTCCAGGGAAGGGTCAGACTAGGTAGGTTATTCAGGACAACTGCTCAGAAAGTTACAGTGCCCTGAGGTAGGGAGCTGGGTCAGATGCACAAATGCTGTCTCCTAAGAGGGGTTTGGGCGACTGGGCCAATCTGAAAATCGGAGACATGTAAAAGGGAAAGTAACTACAGCGGGGTGGGTACCTAAGCTGAACTGGCATGGAATACAAGGTGGGGTAACTGCAGAGGGGCATTGGCGCGGACCCCCTCAGCTCTGCGCCGTGACGGCCAATGTGTTGACGTAGCCATGGGGCCCCATGTCGTTCTCGGAGATGCAGTGGCTGAGCTGGCCGGCCCCGACCCCGGCGGAGGGGGCTGGCGCGTTCTTGCCGTTGCCCGCCAGCCCGCCGGCGGAGTGCAGGAGGCAGCAGGTCTCCAGGGCCTCCAGGCCCCGGCAGGCCAGGAAGAAGAGGTTCTTGAGCATGAAGATGGAGAGGGGCTGCTGGTAGCGCACCAGCAGGAGGCAGCGCAGCGCTAGCAGGGGCGCGTCCAGGAGCCCGGCGGGCAGCAGCCAGTGCAAGGCCAGGCGGGCGGCGCCGGGGGCCCGCGGGGCGCTCAGCTCGTACAGCCACAGCACCGGCGAGGCCAGGCACAGGAAGTAGACGGCGATGAGCACGTAGCGGAGCGGCGGCGGCAGCGGCAAGGCCGGCCGGCCGGGCTGCAGGAGCAGCAGCTCCAGGAGAGTGAAGCTGTCCAGCAGGTCCAAGCACGTGGCCAGGAAGGCGGCGGCGGCGCGGTGCTGCGGCGGCGGCTGGGGCGGCAAGAGGAGCTGGCCGGAGCCGGAGCCGCCCTCGGCGCCGATGGCCCGTAGGAGGCAATACAGGAGCGGGGCCGAGAGCGCCAGCGTGATCCGGAAGCCCGTGGCGCCCAGCGGCAGGCGCAGCTCCACCAGCTCCAGGATGGACGTGCCCAGGATGAGCGCCGCCTTGGGCGTGAAGGCGATGGCGTAGATCAGCCAGGCCAAGTGGGCGTAGGCGAAGTCCCCGCCCCGCGGAGCGCCCCCTGCCTTCCCGCCCGACGCAGCGCAGGCGCCTCGGCCGCCGTGGGGCGGGTGGCCCAGCAGCGGGTGCAAGGGCGGCGGCGGGTGTCCCCCTCCGACGCCGGACGGGCGCTCCCGGCGACGAGCGCGGCTGTTGCGGCAGAAGAAGATGCTCCAGCCGGCGGCCAGCACCAGGTCGGTGGCGATCCAGCTGCACCAATACAGGTCGGTGACGGCGATCAGGTAGAGGTCCAGCAGCGCGCCCTGGCCCAGCAGCAGCACCAGGGACAGCGCCTTGTAGCCCCAGCGAGACCCGCCCGAGCCCCCCGCCCACAGCAGTCCCGCGGCCGCGCTCGCCGCCGCCGCCGCCCCGGGCCCGGCGGCCGGAGCCCCGTACAGCTCGGCGGCTGTCATGCTGCAGCCCGACGTGGAGGTGCTGCTGGACCCCGGGGAGGCGCAGGCGGCGGGCGGGGCGGGCGGCGAGGCGGGCTCCTGAACCGGCACGAGGGGCTTGGCTTCCTCCTCCTCGCCCTCTTCCTCCTCCTCCTCTTCCTCACTGCTGCGGCCGCCGCCGCTGCTGCTGCTGCTCCTGCTGCGAGTGCGGGTGGAGGCCGAGCTGGACACGGAGCCTCGCCTGCCCCTCCGGGTGCCGCCGCTCGAGCTGCTGGTGGTGCTGATGCCGCCGCCCAGGAAAAGGGGCTGCAGGTCCGCGGCGGGGGGAGGCGGCGGGGGAGCCTGGAAGGAGCCCGAGGAGGAGGAGACCGAGCGCTGGTTGGAGACGACTCGGTGCATGGTCGTCCTCCCCGCCCCCCACCCGCGCCCCACAGAGATGGGCGGGCGGGCCACAGCCCTCCCGGCCGGGCACCCGGCGAGTAACCTGCCCGGCACGATCCAGCCCCGGGGAGCGCCGAGCGGTGGGGATGGTGGTGATGGGCGAGAGGGAGGAGGAGGAGGAGGGCGGTGGGCAGGCTCTGAGCGAAAGGCGAGACCCGGCCTGGATCTTCCCTTTCCCCGCCGTCGGAATCAGTAGAAACCCGGAGCGGATCCTGCCGTGGACGAAAGAGAGAGAAGCGGGGAATCCGGGAGTGGATCCAATCGCAGAGACGGACGCTTGATGGAAGAAAGGAGAGAAAGCCCTAAAGCAGATGCTGCGCGGAGAAAGGCAGGTGAAGGAGGGGCGGGTTTGGGGATGCGGACAAAGACGGAGATGCAAGGCGAGAGGCTGCCAAAAGAAAGCGCCAGCGCGCGCGCCTCCTGGCTGATGCTCTTCCCCAGAAGCGCCTGCCAAGGCAGCGGAGGGACGGGGGCGCGGATTGCTTGCGAGCCAGGAGGATACCTGGGAGCGGCAGCTGCTTTTGTTGCCCACCCCCTCGCAGCGAGCTTCATGGCAACTGGGTGGGCGGCCTGATGCAGCAGCAAATGAGTCACTTGCCTCAGGAAGGGGGAAGCTGTCGCCTAGGGGGAAAGCTCGTGCCACAGTGCGCCTCGGAGGCTGCAAAGGGAGGATGGCTCGGGAACTGGTTTCCTTAACTACCTACTTAAGCACCAGGCATAAATGATGGAAAGAGCAGGGTGGGCATTGAATAGTTACTGTTGAAGCGGGCTTTTATAATTGGAAAAGTAGCATTCCCTTTGCTGGGTATTATTTTTATACTAATGAACATTCTTTTCTTTTCTTTTTTCTATCCCATTATGGTGCAAAGCTCAGAGCAGCTTACAAAGATTCCAAGAGTTAGTTTGCAAAGAACGAAACCTCAATAAACAATACACTGGAAGGCAACGCTTAAAAAAACACAAAAAAGCACACAAGCTGCTAAAAATGGCATTAGACGTTACTAAAAATATGTTGCCTTTTGAAGATCACTAAACATTAGCCCTGACAGACCTCAGAAGGCGATTTCAAGGACTGGGCAAGGGTGGTGGTGCCAAGGTTAATAATTCAATCCAGAATAATAGGGTGTCATTTGTATGTATATTACGTTTATATCCCGCCTTAAGTTCCATCATGGACCTGTGTGGGAGGGTGTCTCCTGTCCAAGCACTGACCACATCAGGAGTGGCTTAGCTTCAGCATAGTTCATGCATCGTGCACTTCCCACCCTGGCATGAGCAGTTTTTTGCAGCATAAAACACTTTTAGCCTTACTCTGCAACACATACAAGGCAGGCCAGCATCTATGCATAAGACATAATACCAGCAACTTCACAAATCCAAGACAATCTCCAGTTAAAAGGAAGCCTACTTTTTCCATATTGAGTTTTAAATCTGGGGCAGGCGGGGCATTCGAAGCTGTGACATCACACCTGCAGGCTGAGGTTGGCTCCCACTGACTTAGTAGCTTGGCTCTTTGAATACTGATGCAACAGTCTTCGAGTTAGGACAGTACAAAAGGTTAAGCACTAAGGAGCCCAACAGGAATAAAAAGAAATGATTTTTTAAAGGGACAATCTGCTAAGCTTCAGAATAGCAGGAAAAGGCTGCATGGGGGGGGAACCATAATATAAATGTTAGATTTATTGTTATGTACACTTTTCTGCTTGGCCACAATATATTGTCCTCTTAAATAAACATTTGCCTCTTTTTTTATCCGTTTGGTGTCCGTGGTGCAATTCCTTCACGAGGCATAACATCCTTAAGTCCTTAGGTATCCATCAGAAACTTCAGAACAGACACTTTGCCAACAGGAGGAGCTGAAGCAGAGGTAGTGACAGCTCAGTAAGAGATGCTTTCAGCTTGTCAAATGGAGCTATGGAGGAGGAAGCCAAGTGAGCCTCTGCCACTTTCGTGATAAACAGGAAACCCTGTACTTTTATAGCATTAACATAGAAATGAGTTTTTAATCCTTTCTTTGTAGAAGCTCCGCTATTATCTATTTGTCTGGAATTTCCTATGGCTTTAATTTGCCCATTTCCTTGATTCTAGTTTATATGTGTTAAGTCTAAATACCTAGCATTCATGGGACACAGAAAGGTGTCTTATGCTAGTCAGACTAGAGATATGAAGGCCCAACAAAAAAACTGCAACAATCCTGTTTTTCTCCATTTCCCCCAAGCTTTTTTCTGAGCCTTCACATCTTAGATTATGCATCCATCTAGATCAATCTGTCTGCTCTATCAATGGCTCTCAGGCTTCAGGCAGGGACATCCCAAGCCCTACCTGCTGATGCCGTGGATTGAACCTAGTACCTTCTGCTTGCAAAGCATGTGCCACAGCCTTTCCTATATTTCAAGATCTCAGACCACAGCGGAAATGACATGGATTTAACTTGGGATTAAGGCCCACTAAATTTAGTGGGACCCAATTCTGTGTTCATCACGATTGGTATTTCAAATACTTCAGGGCTGAGCCCCCGTCAATAAAAACAAAACAGGTTCTAGGCCTCTGTCCAGCACTGTCAGGATTGCATGCTTAGCCAGCACACATGAATCAAATTACAGTACAAGCAACTCCCTGTTTACACACATACAAGTCACCCGTGACTGTGCATACACACTGTACTCTTGTTACGAACCTGGAAGTAGCACTTAAAGAGGGGAAACGGCCCCCCAAAGAGTGTGAAAACAGCAAAAATGGTGCGAAAACAGTCCCACAAGCCTTTTCAAGTGCAGTCCCAGGAGGTTTTGCATGGAGCTTTGAGGTCTGTGAAGAGCTGGAGTTTGAGAAAGGAGGTTTGGAGGGAGTCTGGTAAGTGCTGCTGGTTTTAAAAACAGGTTTCCAAGGGTTTCCTGAGGTTTGGAGGATGTTTTCAGGCTTTCTCAATATACACAATTTCACTTACGCGCGCGGTGCCTTGGAACATGTAAATGGGGAGTTGCCTGTAAATCACAAGGCTTCCCATACCATTTGGCAAAGCCCACTGATATTCTTGTACTAACATCCATCAGCCCATCAAAGACAAATCTGGTGTTTGGTGGTGGTGGTAACAGAGAATAAAATTCATAATGAAGTTAAGATGATGGTAGTTTTAAAAGGGATTTTAAATCAATTGGACTTAAACTTCATGCATTTAAATGCTACTTGAAGAAACAGGGGGCAAAGGACTGTTTTGTCCCCCAAATCAGTAAGAAAGGTCTGTCTCTTACAGAACAGATTGCAAGAAGGAAGAAATAAAGAAGCCTGGAGAGCATCTGAGGGTGGAAGGATGCTTAAAATAAAGCACAGGAGTGAAGAGCCTTAATTATGTCTTGCAGGGGCTGTCATGAGTCGACAGCTGCAGCAGGGAAAGACAGGAGGAGGATAAGTCGGTTTTATGGTGTGGCTTTTTTTTATTTTAAAAAAGTGCAAATTGCTCCTTGAATGGGGGAGGATGGATGACTTATACTTTAGGTGCTAAGCAGCTTAGCAAACTCAAATTAACATGCCAAGATGCTGAAAATGAGGGATCAAGTTAATTCAGCTGATTCTCTCTCACCTCAATTACTGTAAGACAGTTCTCTCTGATCTTTCATTTGCCCATCTCCAACCTCTTATTCCTACTTTGCATCCCATGGCTCATTGGTTAATCTGCATCTCATTTCAGAATGCTCACATCCCTTCCAGCTTCTCTTCACTGGCTCCCTTCCTTTACCATGTGAACATAGGAAGCTACAGGTCAGCTATTAAGAGATCCGTGACCTGCACACCAGGTGTACTGAACTAGGTAGACCTGCCCTCTGAGAAACTCAAAAGATCTCATTTCCTGCTGTTTTTCCCGTGAATAATCCTGCTTTCTTTTCACCCCACATCTGAAACCTTCAATTCATCCCCTAGTTCCTTTCATCCCCTCCAGCTTCTAGTTAATTGCATGGTTGCCACAATTAACTTGACACATACCACTGCATTTCTCAAAACAATGGATAAAGTACCAAGACTAACTCCGCCTCCCACCCAGAAAATAATGGGTAACACTTTATAGGACACTTAGCTCGTGCTCCTTGGAACATAAGATGCTGCCTTATACTGCCAAGTCAATGGTGCATCTAGCTCAGGACTTGTCTACACTGACCAGCAGTGGATCTCCAGAGTTGCAAAGTGGATGCTGAACTACAGCTCTTCCCCTTGACAACTCCGGTTCTGAGCCACATTATGCAGCACAGGATATCTAGTGTGGTATACAGTAGAGGGACTACAAATCAGATGCAAATCTCTGCTCAGACATAAAGGTTACTGACTGACCTTGAGTCAGTTACCATCTCTCATCCTTGCCTACCTCACAGTGATGTTGCAAGGATAAAAGGGGGCAGACCATGGGCTGCTGAAGGAGGAGGAAGAAGAGAAGATATAATTAAATAAAACTATGAATATTTTTGTAAAACTCAGAGCATTTTAAAAGAAGAAAAGTATACTTGCTTGAAGGTTGCCATAGTAAAAACTTAATTAGAAGCTGGTACTTCCTAAATACAGGACACCATGTTTCACTTTGTCTACTCCTAGATTTGTTCACACTTGTTTGCTATATATTTTATTTGGATGTCATTTTTGTATTTAATACAAGGTATGTCTTTATTATTTATTTTAGCATTTGCATTTTGTTATACAAATCCATTTTTTAATAAAAAAGGTAATGATTTTTTATTTTAAAAAAGATACTCGGTAGATCACTGAAAAAAGAAGTACAGTCAATGGAACCAACTGTTTGGCTTTCACTGCAGTTGGCAAGAAAGGATTTGAGACTGACATTTTCCCCTTAAAATGTAAACCATCCATGTGCTAAAGCCAACTAATCTCCAAAAAGCACAAATGGTTCAACTGGATAGTATAGGAGAAGCAGGAATTGGAGCCCAACCCTACCCCTGCTACAGTCATCATCATCATAACAAAGTTATTTAAAACACAGGCAAACAGTTATATTAATGTAAGAAAATAAGGTTATTGCTCACACTACAAAGTAGTAGTAATCTGTCCTACAGAAAAAGGTAACTTAGAATTATGTCCAGATTCATAAGAGGAACAGGACCAACTTGCTATTCACACACTAACATCACCAATTACTGTGGTACAAAAATCTACGATTGCCTCTTCTGCATTTGCACATGGGACATGGGGATGTTTCCAGGATGCGGCTTACACAAAGGGTGGCCTGGAAATTCTTCATTAAAGAGGTTTGGAGACATACATAGCACAGGTTCAAAACTCTGGGGAATTCGCAGCCCTCCAGGTGTTTTTGGACTCCCATTAGCCCTGGCCAGCATGGGTAGAGATGATGGATGTTGATGTCAACAACTACTGGCAGGCCACAGGTTCCTCAGCCCAGCTGTACACAGAGAAGCATGCTTCTGCATAAGCATCTTCTGTTGCACATCGCTGCAACAATATACAGGCAAGGCCGCATGCATGTCTGGACCCAGACTACTGATTTCTAAGCAACGAACAGCCCTGAGGCAGGGTGGTAAAACACAATATGAAATTAATGCAAGGGAAAGATCTGTTTGGAGAGGATCAAGATTGCTATTTCTGTGAGAAGGTGATAGAGGGAAACACAGCAACAAAACACAAATCACAGTCTTGCCCTTGACAGTTTGTGAAGGCTAAAGCCATTTCTTTTACAACTAGGTAAAACTCCCCCGCCCCTTCTCTTCTCCAATTTTCATTATCTGGTATCCCAAACTCTGCACAGCTGAGTCCATTATGGTTCAGGTCAAGGACCATTGTTTGCAGTCAGAACTCTGCCTACCAAAGGCATAGAACACTCACAGTAAAAGGGGTAGTGCCTAAGTAAATATTTATATTTCAGGGACAACTAGTCAAAGGTTGTGAAATAGCCAGGAGAGTGAGATTTAGTCATTACTGCAACTATCTTGCTTCTATTTCTATTCCTGCTCTGACAAGAGGGTCTGTTCCTCCAGGCATATCATGCGCCATAAATCAACGCAGACACACATTTAATATTCTGAACTTTTCAAGCACCTTCAGGAGCATCTGGAACAGAAGCAAGAGCCAAAAACTGTAGCAGACCTCATGATGCTGGTCACAATTATTTAGATAGGATTGGGTGGAGAGATTTAAGATGCACTGGCCTTTGGCAGAGGAGCCAATTTCACCACAAAATTGGGATTACACAGTAGTTGTAGATATAGGAAAGAGCATGGAAGCTGCACAGATGTGAAACGGGTGGGGCTAGTTAGTGACCCTTTCAGCCTTCTCCATGGCAACCTTTCCCAACCTGTCCTCTCCAGATGTTTTGGACTACAACTTCCATCAGCCCCAGCCGGCACAGCCAATGGTCAGCAGTGATGGAAACTGTTTTTTCAGAACATCTGTGTGGCACCCTGGTTGGTGAAGACTGCTCTTTGGCTACACTCATTTTAGCAACAATGCAGAATTTCAAGTTGGCAAATGTGCTAGAGGCCCATATTGACAAAGATTTGGGAGATGGTTGCAATCCCTACCAAAAAACAAGTTGGGAGAACTTTCCTTTACTTTGGCATGGGTTGAACAAGACAGTGCTCAGATCTGCCTCTGCCCTTCTGCCCCCATGTGAGATGCTGGCAACACTGGACTTATCATTCCAGTTTCCAGTTCTCCTTCTGAAAGACGAGCTCCACAGCATCATTCACATCGTGCACAACGTGAGAGGCCTCCACCAAGGTTGGATCAAAATGGAAGTCCCGGTGTCCATGGAAGACAGTCTCCAACATGTTCTCGTTGTGGTCAGCAGGCACATCTCCCTGGGGATTGTAGACCCCAGTGCAGACCAGAATGGACTGGCAGCTCTCTGCAGAGGTGATGGACACACAGTGATCTTTTTGCATCTCAACATGTTCCTCGCTCTCTGCTGCCATTGCAGTGACACTTACTTCAGCCTGAGCCTGGAGGTAACGGTTGTAGAGGTTTGCACCATAAATGTCAGCCATTGGGTTGTCTCTGTAAGTAGACCCAAAGGACAAGGGAGGAGAAAACAGGGTAAGAGTCAAGGTTATATAGTTAAATTTGGGCAGTACTTACCGTATTTTTCGCACCATAGGGCGCACCGGACCATAGGGCGCACCTAGTTTTTAGATGGGGAAATCAATAATAAACCCACCCCCCCCAGCCCCAAAGAGCAGCGTACAGGCTGCGCACAACCTCTCCCTGCCGGATGGATCCCGCTGGCTGCTTTGGCTTCCTCTTTAGCCCCGCGCAATCCCTCCCTGCTGGGAGAGGCTGCGCAGGGCTAAAGAAGCTATAGCCCCGTGCAGCTTCTCCCTGCCGGAGGGGTTGCGCGCGGCTATGGCACAAGCCTGCATTCGCTCCATAGGACGCACACACATTTCCCCTCAATTTTTGGAGGGGAAAAACTGCATCCAATCGAGCGAAAAATACGGTAAATTTTGAGAATTAAGACCCATCTAGTAACAGCAGCCATGCAGTACCTCCACCCCCGTTTGCCAGCAGGGAAAACAATTCAGTAAGTTATATGAATCTTTCATCCTGCTCCATGCCAATATGCAGCTGCTGTGGCCAAGGTCTTCCTCTCCCAAGCTCAAGGAAGAAGAGTTGCTTACCCGATAGCATACAGTTGGCGGAGAGGGGATGTCCAGCCCCAACTCTCCATCTGCTGCTTGATCACATGTTCAGCATAGCGGTAGGTGACAGTGCTGGGCTTGCCTATCAAGGCCTCATACTTCAGCTCCTTGCCAGTCATTTTCTTGTAGATGTTCTCCAAGCACACAAGAAAGGTGCCATGGCCAAATCTGACCACAAAGAAAGAAAAATGTAAAAAGTCGGCATGCATACTCCTAGGAACATGTGGTGGCACTGGGTGAATACAGAGGATAAAAGTACCCAATGGGAAATGTGGGTAAGATGGCTATTCTTCAAGTATGTCCTTTAATCAAATAATACAGACATGACTGCAGAATTCTATGATCGCTTTTGCACCACCCCTTGTTACTGCTCTGCTCTGCTGCTATGGAAGAAAGGCCTATCCCTCCATGGACTGCTGCACAAATTCCTGACCCTTTGTTGAGGGACGTATTTGGTTAATCTGGCCCCAGAGTCTTAAAAGTGTGTTCCTAACATTAATGGGGTTTCAAAAAAGTTTTCTCGCATTATACAAAACAAAACCAAGCTAGTCTTAACCTGCAGTAATTTGACCATTGTAAGGTTACATTTAGAACCTCTTGTTATGGACTGGAGCAAGACTCTACACTTAAGAATTTCTTCTCAGTTCCTTTTAGTTTCCAGAAACAGTCAATTTTCTTAGACTGTAATAATAATAATAATAATAATAATAATAATAATAATAATAATAATAATTTATACCCCACCCATCTGGCTGGGCTTCCCTAGCCACTCTGGGCGGCTTCCAACAAAATATTAAAATACAATAATGCATCAAATATTAAAAGCTTCCCTACACAGGGCTGCCTTCAGATATCTTCTAAAAGTCTGGTAGTAGTTGTTCTTTTTGACATCTGATGGGAGGGCGGGTGCCACTACCGAGAAGGCCCTTGGCCTGGTTCCCTGTAACCTAGCTTCTCACAACGAGGGAACCACCAGAAGGCCCTTGGCGCTGAACCTCAGTGTCCGGGTAGAACTATGGGGGTGGACACGCTCCTTCAGATATACTGGACTGAGGCTGTTTAGGGCTTTAAAGGTCAGCACCAACACTTTGAATTGTGCTCGGAAATGTATTGGGAGCCAATGTAGGTCTTTCAGGACCAGTGTTATGTGGTCTTGACGGCCGCTCCCAGTCACCAGTCTAGCTGCCGCATTCTGGATTAGTTGTAGTTTCCGGGTCACCTTCAAAGGTAGCCCCACAGAGAGTAACAAACAGAGTAACAGCTTTATTTATATAAGATGTTCTTACAGAAGTGGCTCACTCAATGGCTTTTAGCTTCTTGGCAAGTGGGTTGTAGTTGAATACCAGGAAGGTGAGGGGTGAGTTTGCAGGAAGGTTGGAACGATGCAAAGGCGCAGGAGTCAATCCAGCACTCCTACTGGCACATTTGCACTGTACAAGCCTCCCCACAAGTTTACCCCTCACTCTCTCTTTGGTAAGTAGCAGCGACCCAGCTGCCAGGAAGCTAAGCGCAACAACTTAAGTACTGTAATGTACCTAGAACATTGGCGCCCAAACTTTAACCCACCCCCCATGTCCACTTGGAAATCACTGTGTCTTGGTGGACCACTTAATCATTTATCTACCTGTTACAGCTGTTGTAACGGACTGTGCTAGATGCTATATGATCTTTAACTCCATTTTTATTGCTTCTTTTATATCTTATACTGCATTGTATTGTTCTACAATTTGAATTCCACAGAATGCTATATACAATACAATCATTAAATGCAATTCAAGAAAGAAGCAATAAAAATGCAATTGACCATGTTTGATGGGACTGACGGGAATAGTAGTTCAACAACTTCTGGACAGCCAAAGGTTCCCTGCACCTGATCAAGCTCATCCGAGGCAACTGAGCAAGGAGCATAGGAGCATATTCTCCAGTGAGGTTTCCTGCAAATATGGGGGGGGGGGAGAGAGAGAGAGAGAGAGAGAATACAGAATGCCAGCAAGAGATCTCAATAGAACCTTTGTATCACCTTGGCATCTTGGCTTCTGCCATCCACAAGAGATCCATGTTGCAGGCGAGGATAGGTAGATGTGGGTATGGAACAGAAGTCAACTCTACCCCTAGGTTCCCATTGCTCAGGAGTACATCAATGATCAGTTGCAGGCAGGTCTCCCACCTGACTGGCTCCCCAAACAGAATCACAGCTAGAGATTGACAAAGGCAGCACATTTTCAAAACAGTAGTATGTGCCTGTACATCATATGACATAATAACCCCATATAGGAATGAACTCACAGTGGGTTACATCTGAGTAAACATCCTTTGCAAACCTATCCCCATCTACTTGGGTCCAGGACTAGGACATTTTAGCTGTATTTTTCAATATTTTTTGTTTTAAGTTGTCTGTTGTCACTTTAGTTTTCTGTACACCACTTAGAGATATTTTTATATATTGAGCAGTATAGAATTCATATAGACAGACAGACAGATATATAAATAGGCAGACAGAATGATCTACTCTGGGCAGCCCAGCCAAGATTACAAAGGAGCTCTCATATAAAACTTGGAGCAAACTGAATGGGGCTTCCATTTATTTGCCACATATTCCTATAGATGTGACTAAAAAGAGCAGGGTCTGCATTAGATATGTGAAAGCCAAGAAAAATGGGGGGGCAGGACACCCCCCAATATTGCAGGAAAAACCCCCACCATTTTTCTGTCTCCCCCCAGGCCTTCATAACTCTACTCCACATTACAAGGGACAACTCTGTTTCGTCCCCTGATGTTCTTTCTCAAAACAACAACAACAACTGGGGAGAATGAAAGCTTTATCAAAGTCACCATGCTAACAATCCTTTGCAATACAGTGGATTCTAGGATATGCAGAATTACTCATCTTTGCATTCTGTCTTATTTCTTCTTTTTTTAAAGTTGATAAATATATTTAACCAAACAATCTAATAATAGCACATTGTTCTGCGTTATTTCTGTGCACTTATAATTGATTTGCCCCCAGCCAGACACCAGAAGTGGAAATGAGCTTAGCTATGGGGGAAAAGCAACCTGGGGGTGGAAAATTTGCACTGCCAGACGTGAAGGGTCAAGCATCTTTTCACCCTGCCTGCTCTGCCTTCAAATCAGTTTGAAAACGTGCATCTGCCAAGAGAAAGCCCACCTAAGCCCAGGTGAGCTCACAATGAAACACTCTTCAGAAAGAAAACAATGCACTTACCTTCTATGGTGGGGAAGTCAGCAGGTGCAGGAGGCTGTCAAAAGGGAGGGAAGGGGAAGAGATATTAGTCAATTTGCAGTGTCAGAAAATGGGTGAGGTTTGCTCAAGAGCTCAATGATACTTGGTATGTTATCCAACTGTAATATCATAAGGTGTTTGTTTGTTTTTAGGAAAAGGAAAACAAAATTGAATGTGCGTCCGGTTTTTAAAGAAATACGAAACCTTTATAATAATTTCCTCCAACTGCTTTATTCTGCTAATTTGCAACCTTGTAGAATTCGTCTTTGGTTTGTAACCTACATGGAGCAAATGGCAACTTTGCACAGAAAAAAAAATCCTACCGACAAGAGTTCTATATTGCTGTTTTCACAAGAGATCTTGGTGGGGATACTATGTAAAATATTTGTATTACTACAGAGCTGGAGAAGCTCAGGTTAGGGGGCCAAATGCCTCTCTGTCTGTCCCTTGGGATTCTCAAGGCACATACCCCACCCAACCACGCCCCTCACCAGCTTCACATCATGCCCTTGTGTTTCTTCCTGGCTGGAATATGCCCTTGGTAATGACTCGTTTGCCTGGATGGAGGATGGAAAGGAGTATGTGAAGAAACTAACTACAAAGGTAATATTTACATTAATTGTTTTGCCAACTGCTGCCTCTGGCCCTGCCTATCACTGGCCTGTGACCCCAGGAAGGTGGCCTAGATGGAACAGAGGTGCTTGGGCTAAAAAAGGTGTTTCACCCTTGTTGTACAGGAACTTTACTACCAGAGCAACTATGGAAAAGTTGAAAGTAGGCAAGAGAACACTTAGTTCTGCCAGGGGACACACACCACACAAATGCTCTCTTTCAGTCACACTTTGCAATACTCAGGTTAATACTTGCCAGCTCTTTTGGCCTCCGACTTTGATCAACCATATCCAGCAAGGGAAATGCCTTCCTCACATCTTCAATGGTAACAACGTGATGGAATCCCAGGCTGTTTCAAAGTTGTCAAGGGCTCTACTGACTTAAGGGTAAATTGTCAGAACTAACCCAGGAACTTAGTAACAGGAACCCGCCAAATCCCTACTGTTGGGCAGCAATCATATCTTGATAGATTCCCCACTTCCCTGTCCTGATCAGAAGGTCAAAGGTAGAGCAAAAAACAGCACTATATTCTTCTTCTTATTATTATTATTATGTTTATAACCCACCTTTCCTCCAATGAACTTAAGGTGGTGCTAGGCCTGGGCAATATATTGATATATCGCCCAAGACTGGTATGAGGAACAGACCACGATGTCGGCTTCATTCAGCAGTATATTGCTGGTGAAAACACCACCAATCCTGAGTCCCTCTGCTAGCAGCGTACGCTAGAGTTCCTTCCTCCAGCAGTGCTGCTAGAGGGACTCAGGAGCACTGAGTGAAACTGCCATCGCACTCTGCCCTCATGAGATGCAATGACAAACAAGCTGTATCAGCAAGGCATCAATACAGCTTGTTCCTCCCTCTGCATCTTTAAACTTCTTGACTCAGGAGTGTGCAGCTGCCCCAACCTCAGATGAGCAGTTACAGGAGCCAGGAGCCCGCAGCCCAGTACTGGTTCCCATGAGCTGCTGGCAGGGTGGGGGCTCTGTGAAACTACTCTACTAAGGGGAGCACAGTTAAAGGAGCCTTGATGCTCTGCCTGCTCATGCCGGGACTGACTCAGCTGGGGAACAGGAACCTTCCCAATCCCCAGCTGAGCTGCACAAACAAGCTTTTGCCCAGGGTCACCAAGTGAGCCTCATAAGGTTCGAACCCAGGTCTCCTCAGTCCACCCACTACACAACACTGGTTCTTAACACATTGCTAAGAAAGAGAAAGGAAGATTAAAAAAATAAATAAATCTGAAGGCAGCAAAGGATACTCCCTGGCATTTTCCTCCACAGGACCCTGACCACACACAAGCACACATTTGTCATGGAACTGATGGAAAAGACGCAGAGGACTATGGGACAGGATCACCCATTCGGGAGAAACCTGGAAAAAGAGAAAGGTCAGGAGGACGGTTAGCCCTTTCCACATGCAGTATTCCGTATGCCAGGCCCTTTATCCTCTAAGCTGCCAAAGCCGCTAGCATAGGTGACACCACTAGATTAATCTGGCAGGAACATCAACACCCGTCGTCCTTCTCAGACATTAAATACCAATAAGATCTCTTGAAAGTTACCTTGGGTAGGGACATGTCAGAAGAATATATTTAAGCTTGTCCACAATAAAAATACAATGGACTGGAAATATGAGCGTGCAAGAACATACACAACCCATATGCAATGAGTGTGCAAGAACATACACAATCCATATTCATACCCCTAAGTAAGGTCCACACAAAAATGACACTCATCTTATTATTTAACATTGCATGAATGTGTGATTTGCCTTCATTAGAAAGCGTTCTAATTGATGTCAAGTAACGTTAAAGCTCTGTGTGTCCTGTTTGATCTGCAGAGTCATCACTGAAGGTTATAGTCATCAAGCGACAAGCATGGAGGGGTGAGCAGGCTCCCCATCCCAGTATTAAAGGTAGTCAGGCTGGGGAAAACCTCTGTCCAAGAACTTACAGCCAGACCCAAACAAATGCTCTATTTAATAAACTTCTATTCACCTTGTCAGGTGAAGCCTTACTTCTAACAAATGGGTAGCAACTTGTGGAAAGAGTCTAAGCCCTACAAACTTACTTTCTGTGAGGATCCCCCACAAAATCTGGATTCAGGGTCACATCACGTAAGGTCATAGCATACATGAAAGCAACCTTATACCACTTTAAGTGACGGCTTTCCCCAAAGAATCCTGGGAACTGTAGTTTGTCAAGGGAGCTGGGAGGTATTAGGAGATGCCTCAGAGTTATAATTTACAGCACCCTTAACAAACTACAAATCCCAGGATTGTTTATGGAAAGCCAATTCTGTTAATGTGGCCTAACAGTGCTTTAAATGTATGGTGTGGATGCATGTGATCATAGACTCACAATTTAGACACACCAGCAGCCAGTGACCCAATATAGAACACAGGTGCCTTCAGTACCTTAAATCCAAGGGCATCAGACAGTTCCTCAGCCTTGCTGTTGCGAGAGCAGTTTCCAGCATTGGTTACAAATGCAACCGGCACATGGAACCGACCTTTTGAATCTGTTAGTTTCTGGAAGGCCTTCTTAGCAGCAGGAATGACTAGCCGGCCCCGTAAAAGCACTCCATCAATATCAAAGAGGAACCCAAAGGAGGGAGAAGTTGTCTGTAGTGGAGAAAGATTCAATGATGCTATTTAGGAATAACAAGGGTAAGGAGGAACAAACAATAACGGCTCTAAAAGGACCATCTCTTCCCAAGGAAATATAAAACAAGAGATTATGTTGGCATTTCCAATAATTTATTTATGTAACGTATTTCCATCTCACCTCACCATATGCTCAAGACAGTATATAAGAACACTGCTTAAACATAACAATAAAAAGCTTAAAAATGTACAAGTAATACAACAACACCCCCCATCCTACGTCAGTAAATTCTCAAGAATCTGTTGTCATTACTTCCCAAAGACCTTCCCCAAAAAGTAGGCTTTACTTGACTTTTTACTACTACCATACTACTACTACTACTATAATAATTATTTATTTATAGGCTGCCCAGCTGACTGGGTTGTCCCAGCTTCCAACAAATTAGTTGGGAGGCTTCAAACAAATTATAAAACCACAGTAAAACATCACACATTAAAAACTTCCCTATACAGGGCTGCCTTAAAGGAGAGGGATGATATAATAAGCTCCTGAGGGAAAACATTCCACAACTGCAAGGCGACCACTAAAAGGACACTGCTCAAGACAGAGCCCTCAAAGGTTATCTTAATAGGCCAGTGGTCTCATATGGAGAAAGAGGCATCTGTGATATCACGGTTAACAAACCTGGCAACTGAATTTTACAGAATGGTCATCTACACCCACAAACTACTATGAACACAAACACAACTGCAGAACATCTTTGAATCAGGGTACGGTAATTCATGGCTGATGTTGCCAGTCTGGAAGCATTGCAGGAGTTGTATGTACTATTAACAAGAACAGTATTATTAGGAACACCGTAAGTTAAGAAGAGAAATGCACTTCTACTCAAGCCCTAGTGAGTTCAATGAGTCTGACTGCCAGGCAAACATCGATAGCAGTGGTAACCAAACTTTCTTCACCATGGACCACTTGAACATTACAGATGGGCTTGGTGGCCTTAATTATTTTTATGCCTCATATAGCAATTGTAATGTGCTGTACTTTGTGACTGTAAATTGTGTTTTAATTGCTTCTTTTATTTCTTGTATTTACAATCCATAAAATTCAAATTCCAACATATCTGCAAACAAGCAGAGCAACAAGCAAGAGAAATTCAGAGGCTACCAAAGACCCGTGTGAATTTTTAAAGCATTTAATAATTGCCTAAACGTGAACAATGCGGGCACCAACCAGAGAATCCCATAGCCTAGAGCCACCACTAAGGAAGTCCTGTCTCTTGCAATTATTGAAAGGTAATAATTAGCCTTTTTAGTTGCATATGTGTAGATAAACTGATGAACAATGAAGTTCACTAAGCACTGGAGATCTGATGATTTCTATGGAATTCAGTCAGCAATCTAGCCACCTTTCAAGCAGTCTTCACAGGCAGCCTCACACCCAACACACTGCTTGCAGCCTAACTTGCAAGTCGCCAATGTTTTGATCTCACATTGTCGTGCATTACAGCTAACCTGTAGCATCCATCGCATTTCACGAGGGAAGATTTACCGTAGTTATTAGGGATGTGGTTATTTCTTGGGACATATAATCAGCACAATCAAAACACTCCACGCTGCTTCGTCCATTGCTTTAATTTAGATGTGCTATCAGCAAGCTGCACTGATGTAAAACAACACTCTGAAGAGTGTATGTGAAAGAGCGGCTTCTTAACTTTTTGTTAACGTGGAAAAACCAGCTGACGAATCGAAAATCGAACACGTAGGTTGGCTATTTACCAGGCAACTTTCTTCACTAAGGTCTGAGAGTTCCCAGCACAAACAACTCCGCCATATGCTAAAAGCTAGTATTCCCCCCAATCCCCGCCGCCGCAACAACAACAACAAAGGCAGCCTGGGTGAAAGGAGACGCGCTTGAGAAAAGCAGGCCAAGGGACAGGTAAGCCCGGCGCAGTTGCCCGGCTCGATCTCCTCCCGGGGGTGTCACAAGACAAGAGAAAGTGACGGGAGGACACCGAAGGGCGCGCGCGCGCGCACAGGGAGGAGATCAGGAGGGGGTCCTCTCTCACCTGCCGCGCCCCGCAGGTTCTCCCCACGGGACGGCCTTGGCTGCTGCTCCTGCAGGGGCGGCTGACGGCGCCCCCCCTGCGCGCCGCAGGCAGCCACCCCCTCAGCGCCGCTCTGCTCACATGGAGCGAGCAGCACACAGCCATCCGCCCGCCGACGCCTGCTCCGGCTGGGGCGCCTCCTCCAATCAAGGCGACGGCCGAATTCCCGCCTTCCTCCCCTTGCTTCCTCCGCCCTGCCAATCGGAGCACCAAGCCTGCCGGTCACATGGGACGGCGGTGAGGGATGGGACCCGGGTCGGAGGTGGAAGGAACTACTGCGCAGTTCCCAGTTCCGGCGCGGAGGGAGCCGCTGGCGCGCGTGCTGTGTCCGCCGAGGCTGCGGGGAGCCTTGCCTGTGGCCGCTGGGAAGATGGGCAGGAGCTCCAGCGCGCCTGTTTATTTTATTCATAATTTATTTTTTAACATTTTATCACACTGCTTGAGCGTAAAAAAGATAAAACAATAAAATCAAGGCATTTTTTTAAAAAAACCACACTTTGAAAGCATACAGAAGTTAAATAGATTACAAATTCGCAGCAACTTTTCCAAGCATCTGGGTGAGCTTGTCTGAACAAGGATGTTTTTAGCAGGTGGCGAAAAGAGCACAGCGAAGGTGCCTGCTTTACCTCAAGTGGCAGGGAGTTCCCAAAGCATAGGTGCTTTCCCATCTCATCTTACAAAGGATGGAAGGAAGAGTATATAGGAGTAGCTAACAGTTGCAGGGTGAAGGTCAGATGGGCCAAAGCTCAGAATGAGTTCAGGCTTGCAAGAGAAGTTAAAAATGATTTTAAAGGGTTTGTTCAGCTATATTCAAAGCAAGAGAAATGCCTATGTCTTAACCCAAAAGGAAAGCAGCACCCAACCTGGTGGTAACAGATTAAAGTATTCAAGGAGGGAGCAGCAGCCCAGATAGGAAAATAAGTGGTATGGGAACACCTAGCTACTTTAAAGGAATTCAAATCTTCAGGGCCTGATGAGCTGCATCCAAGGGTACTAAAGGAGTTTGTGGATGTAATTTCAGAGCCTGTGTCTATAATCTTTGAGAATTATTAGAGAACAGGTGAGGTCCCTGCAGGTCAAAGGTGGGGGAAAAGCGGGGGGGGGGGGGGGAGAAGGCCCAGACAACTACAGTATTGACTGGTCAGCTTGTCATCAATACGAGGAAAGGTCCAAGAACAGATAATTGAACAGTCAGTCTGTGAGCGCTTAGAAAAGGGCACTGTGGGAATACTGTGGGCATAGTGTATATTGATTTCAGTGAAGCTTTTCACAAGGTCTCCCATGATATCGTGGAGAAGCTGATGTGAATGCACTGTAGATAGCTCTTGCCTCTACCAGATTCACTTTTCAGATGTTCAATTCCAGTATTCTTCTAGCCTACCAGAAGAGGTCACTTTTGTACTACAGGAAAACAATGAGCCAACTATCCATTACAACAGCTCTGATTAGCACTTTGCTGGTGCTATTTGGCTTTAAAATGCTAAAATGTACTAATTCCACCACCACACATAAACTTCCTTTACAGTCCCCAGTAAATTTTACATGGATGCAATTGATATTGCTATGAAAAGGGTATCAGTCCAGAAAGAACGGTGGGAGAGAACTGGCCATTGGCAAGGTTGTTGATTTTACATTTTTAAAAAATAATTATTTTTATTTGTTATTTGTTTTAAAAATAGATAAGCCTGCTTTTATTCCAAAACAAAAATGCTAAGAGGTATATACTGTAATAATGTTTTTCTATTGTGCTCTGTTTTTCAGACAAACATTTAGTAAACGGGACAAAGTCCAGCTCCTTAAAAATGCTGTTCATTTCAGCAGCAGTGATTTAATTGTTTCATGGTACAATCCTATACATGTCTACTTAGGAGTGAGCCCCATTGAGTTCCACGTCAGGTTCTTTATAGAGTAAGTAAGACTTGCTTCTTAATAAACATGCATAGGATTAAAATGAAAGAGGCTTAAACATTTCTTAACTTTGGCTGGAAAGTGCCCTGGGTTTAAAAGTTTTAATTGTGGACAAATATGCTGATTACCAAAAAATATAGAATTTCCAAGTAGATTAATTTCACACCTGAAGGATTCCCAGCTCCAGGGGTTCCAGATTAACCACTTCCTACCTCAAATTGAACTAGAATTCTGATCCTTACTTTCTTCTTCCTTGTCCACAGTAAGGTTATTTCAGCCTGCCATTTGATCCCAGTTCATTTAGAACAGGGGGTGGTGGTTAGCACAGTCAGCTTGGCTTAATTCCATGTAGCCCTCTGCTGAATATCATGGGGGTGGCAAAGAAGGGGAATGCGGGGACAGGGAATGACAGAAAAAGAGAAAAGGCAATGTCTACACACCTTTGCCTCTATTCCTGCCCACCCTTGTTTTGGGCAACTTCTGCCCACCAGTGGCACTTCTCTCCCCTCCAAAAGTCCCCCCCCCCGACCCGTGTTCAAGAAAAAATATATATATGGTAAGAAATTCCTACTTTTATTGCAAGCCATTAAGCGGGGGACTTTCACCAGTACCATCACAATGTCAGGTCTTCAGACTAGGAAACACTGTGAAATTAAGATGCAGCCCAAGACTTGGTAACCCTATTGAGGTGCATATATTTTCCTTGTTGTTACTGAAGCGTTCAATTCAGCACACACTGTCTTGAGCATTTACTGCCCATGGATCACATCAATAAAAAGAAATGGAATTGGCATGGGGTAAGTCTCCTCTGAGGCTCCTAAAATGCTGATCTGGAATGGCTTCTTTGATGTCTGAAGAAGCGGCGGGGGTGGGGGGTGGCTCATGCTATACTCGAAGGGTCAGGCTGATTTCATTCCCATTACTCCACATGACTAATGTGGAGTTCAGCCTTCTCAGTAATGGAGGTCGGGGCCACTGAGAGAAGGAGCATCATTCTCTGCAGAGTGATTGCATTTGGAGGAGCTCTCACAAATCATGGGCATTCTGTACCTGATCACAGAACTGCCTCCCTGTAATGACGGGGGAAAGGAGATTGTATTTATTTATTTTCAAAAATAACCTGACCCAGTGAGGCAAGATATCATTTTGAAAACACAGCCGAGGAAGATAAGCAGTCAGGCGATCACCATTCTCGCGGTAGAGTGGCTTAATACAATATGGCTGGCAAAACCCCGCGGGTGTACTTGACAATATAACTCTCAACCTTGCTGGGCTCCAAAATTATTGACTAACGGGGACAAAGTGCCTTGAGGAGAAAGAAATAGCAAAGGACACACAGCATTCTAGAAACATCCAAATGAAGCAACACTTCACTGAGTCCAGGGTGTCAGTTCCCACAAACCATTGTGCTGTGGTTTCCACTTCTGCATGACCAGATTTTTACACTACAGTGGAATCACCTGTAGCTGGGAACCAAGTGGGAAAATTACATGGTAATCTCTCATGGAAGAAAGGATGGGAACCAGAAGGTGGGGTATAGGGGATTAACCATATAATTCACCCAGTCTACTTGGGCTGTGAACGCACTACATGTACTTTTAAAGCATGTTCAAAGCACATTTTCGCCCTCCTAGAATTCTGGACCTTGGAGTTTGTTAGGGATTGCTTGGAAGTGTAACTCAGGGAAGGGTAAATAACAGTGTCCAGAATTCTTTGAGGGGGGGAAATGAGCTTTAAATGTGCTTGTCTTATTTCCTTAAAAGTAGCCTTAAAAGATCCCAAATTTGGACAAAAGTAAAAAAGAAGCTCAACAAATTTGGTCGTGTGTCCCCCCCCCCCCGAAAAAAGCTCAATGTATTGAAATATGGCAACCCTAACTTTAAAGACGTACAGATATCTTTTCAATGCATTAGGAATGTTCTGAAATAAAAGTGGTTGCTAGTAAGTTCAATCAGTTCTGTCTTCCTTGCTCAGTTTTGAGCATTTCAACATAAAGATACAGACAAACTGTAAACAAGGAACGCATAAAACAAATCCACATTTCACTATCCCAAAGCACGGCATCTTTGGTTCTGAAAAGAAGTCTGTCTCGTGGAAAACAAATAGGGCAATCCAGCTAAAGTTGAGATAGTATGTTAGTAGTAGTCATGCTGCTCTATAAAAGAAGCTAAGATCCCAACCAGTCAGGAGTTTGGCATGGAAGGAAAGGTAGAGGAAGACAAAATATAATCCTCCCACATAAGGCCATCTCCCAACAGCTAATGGGCACAAGTCTAGTTTTGTTTACCCAATTGATTATACACATACATAGAACCCCAGTTCTTAGATTGGGCCAGAGAGCTGGGTGTGTGTTAGGTTGGTGTATGTGGGTGGAGGACCCTGCACTTTAGATGGGCTAGACAAAAGCTCTTTTCATTTCAATGAAAAAACATATGCTTAACTCCAACTAAAATCAGTGGGGTTCTGAATGCCAGTTATCCTTAATTTCTAAGTGATGTACATTAAAATTCCAAAAACATACAGTGAATAATAGCAAGTGCCTGAATTTCAACATGGAGGAACCTATCGGATTCTCCTAAGAAGGAGTTTCATAGAATCAGGACCACAATACTAAATGTACAGCTGCTGGTAGATACGAGTCATGCCTTTGAACCATGGGTGACCTTTAAAAGAGACTCCCCTGAAGATCTCAGTGATTGGGCAGGGATATAAAGAACCCTTGAGGTATCCTGGAGCCAAATTGTTAAGGGTTTTGAAAATTAATTAAATCATAATCATAATAGACCATTGAACTTGGCCTGGTAACACGTGAGCAGCCACTACAAACTTTTAATCACCGGAGTCATGTGTTGGCAGTAGGTGTCCCCACCAACAGTCTAGCCACAGCATTTTGCACCAGCTGGAGATTTTGGATCAGGTCCAAGGATAATTCCACATTTTCCTTGCTAATGTTATAAATATAGACCTGCCAACAACTCGTTTTTATATAGATTTTCTGCAGTTCCTTGAGATTGGTGTGTATAGGTGAAACAGCTTTCAATTAATTCCCCCAATTCTTCTGAGATTTGGGATAAAAAGAGAAAACACCGGTTCCTGCTCTATTTCTCCCTCTATTATGTTACATTCATGCACAGCTGCTCCAATTCAGCAAGAACAAACTGCACCCATAAGCAGCTGCCCACAAGCACTGCCAATGTCAATCTGGAAGTATTTGCCATCTCTCCATCATGATGCTCAGCTGATTCCTAT